TTCACTAGTTATGCGTCTTCACTACTTATGGGTCTGTTCAGATTTTCTAACTCTTCCTGTGTGAATTTTGGTAGTTACAGTTTGTTTAGGAATTTGTCCATTTCTTCTAAATTGTCCAATGTGTAGGCACATAATTTTTCTAGTATTCCCTGATAATTGATCTTATTTCCGAGGGGTTGGTTGTAATAAGTCCATAGTAATTCATGTATTTGTCTATTTGTGTGCTCTCTCTTTTCTTTTTGAGAAGCCTGGCTAGAGGTTTGTCAATTTTGTTTATTTTTTCAAAAAAACAACTCTTGGTTTCATTGATCTGTTCATTTGTTTCTTTGGTCTCTATGTTGTTTATTTCTGCTCTAATTTTTACTATTTCTCTTCTTCTACTGGGTTTGGGGTGCTCTTGTTGATCTGCCTCTTGTTCCTTTAGGTGAGCTGTTAGATTTTGCACTTGCGCTTTTTCTAATTTCTTAAAATAGGCCTGGAGTGCAATGTACTTTCCTCTTAGGACTGCCTTTGTCACATCCCAAAGATTTGGATTGTTGTGTTTTCGTTTTCATTTGTTTCCATATATTTTATTTTATTTATTTTTTTTAATGTTTTTTTTTTTTTTTTGTTTTTTTTTTTTTTTATTTGTGAGAGAGAGAGACAGCGTGAGCAGGGGAGGGTCAGAGAGAGAGGGAGTCACAGACTGAAACAGGCTCCAGGCTCCGAGCTGGCAGTCAGCACAGAGCCCGACGCGGGGCTCGAACCCACGAACCGCGAGATCATGACCTAAGCGAAAGTCGGACGCTTAACGGACTAAGCCACCCAGGCGCCCCAATTTCCATATATTTTAATATTTCTTCTCTAATTGCCTGATTGGCCCATTCAGTCTTTAGTAAGGTGTTCTTTAACCTCCATGTGTTTGGAGGTTTTCCAGACGTCTTCCTGTGATTGATTTCAGGTTTCAAAGCATTATAATCTGAAAGTGTGCATGGTGTGATCTCAATTTTTTAATATTTGTTGAGGGCTGCTTTATGTCCCAGTATGTGATCTATCTTGGAGAATATTCCATGCACTCTTGAGAAGAAAGTTAATTCCATGACCTCTGGATATAGAGTTCTAAATACATCGGTCAAATCCACCTGGTACAATGTGTCATTCAGGTCCATTGTTTCTTTAGTGATTTTCTGTCTGGTTGATCTATCCATTGCTGGAAGTGGAGTATTAAAGTCCCCTGCTATTAGCACATTCTTATCTATAAGATTGTTTCTGGTTGTGATTAATTGTTTTAAATATTTAGGTGCTCCCATATTTGCTATTTAGACATGATTGTTCTTTCTGAAGGATAGACCCTGTAATTATTATGTAATGCCCTTCTTTATCTCTTGTTATTGTCTTTAATTTAATGTCCAGTTTGTCTGATATAATTATAGCTACTCAGGCTTTCTTTTGATTTCCAGTAGCATGATATATATTTCTCCATCCCCTTACTCTTAATCTGAAGGTATCTTCCAGTCTAAAACGCGTTTCTTGTAGACAGGAAATAGATGGGTTTGTTTTTTTTTATCCATTCTGCTACCCTGTGTCTTTTGATTGGAGCATTCAGCCCATTTATATTCAGTGTTATTATTGAAATATGTGGGTTTAGAGTCATGTGTCCTTTATGGGATTCAAACTTTGGTGTTGTCTCTGGTATTTGCATTCCTTGCAACACTTCCCTCAGAGAGTCCCCCTCAGGATTTCTTATAGGGCTGGTTTAGTTGTGACAAATTCTTTCAATTTTTGTTTATTTGGAAAGACTTTCATCTCTCTTCCTATTCAGAATGACAGGCTTACTGGATAGAGGATTCTTGGCTGCATATTTTTTCCGTACATGATATTGAAGATCTTCTGCCATTCCTTTCTGGCCTGCCAAGTTTCAGTTGATAGGTCTGTCACCATCTGATAGGTTTCCTTTTGTATGTTAGGGCCCTTTTCTCCCTAGATGCTTTCAAAATTATCTCTGTCCTTATATTTTGCCATATTTACTATGATATGCTGTGCAGAAGATTGATTCAAATTACGTCTGAGGGGAGTTCTCTGCCTCTTTATTTCATCGTTTACTTCCTTCCCCCAGGTAGGGGAAGTTCTCTGCTATAATTTGTTCCAGGACTCCTTCAGCACCTTTCCCTCTCTCTTCCTCGTCTGGGATTCCTATGATTTGGATATTATTCAGTTTGACTATATCGCTGAGTCTCGACCTCTTCTTTCATGTTCATGATCAGTTTGTCTCTTTTTTCCTCAGTTTCTTCTTTTTCTATATTGGTGTCTTCTAAATCACTTATTCTCCTTTCTGCCTCTTCCATCCTTGAATTTGACGTCTCCAGTTTATTATGTATCTCATTTATCACATTTTTAATTCATCACACCTATTTTTAAGCTCCATGTCGTTTGTAGCCATAGTTACTTTGATGTCCTCTATGCTTTTTTCAAGCCCAGCAATTAATTTTATTATTATATTTTTAAAATCTTGTTCACTTTTGTTGCTTATATCTGTTTTGAGCAGTTCTTTAGCTTTCAATTCTTCTTGGAATTTCTTTGGAGGAGAGCTCTTTCATTTCGTCATTTTGGTTCGCTTTCTATCTCTTGTTAATTTTAAAGACTTGTTATGCTGTCTACACCTGTGAGTGCTGCTGTACCCAAGAAGAGACTTTGACTGTCCAGGGCCTATTCTTTCAGAAAGTGTTCTTTGAATGGTATCTCTTGGTCTCTCTTGTTGAGATATTGGTTATTTTATTTTCCTACTTGTAGTGGTATTTGGGACTCTCCAACATGTGTACTTTGGCTTGTTTCTTGAGGTAGCCCTGGAGAAGAAAACAGACAGACAAATACACAGTGTACAGATGCACAGAAACGCACAGACCAATCCAACAAACACGCAAACCGAGAAGGAAAATGAAAAAGTAAAGAGAAAAGACGGCAGAGGGAAGGCGAATAATAGAAAATAAAAATACCTAAAAATGTAAAAAAGAAGAAAAGAAAAGGAAAAAAGAAGAAAGCCGATAGACAAAGAACCGTTTAAAGCATTAATAAGATTTTCCAGCTACAATTAAATAGCCAGGTGTATGCAGTGCTGGTTGAAGAGCATAGAGAAAGAGAGAGAAGACAGGGCGGGATGAGGCAAAATTGGAAATAGAATGAAGAAGCAGAAGGGATAAGAAGTTTTTTTCAAACAGTGAAAGGGTGGAATATGATTGGAGAGGTGAGAGAAAGACACTGGTGTTATCCAGAGAAACTATATAGTCTGATTATTCCTGTGAGAAAGAGATGAAAAGGTAGGTAGATGTAGAATTTACTTCTACAGAATGGATTACATGTTACTGTTTAATCAAGCCAGTGACCAGAATTAATCAGGTCAGTGTTCTGATAAAAAAAATGGTGGAGGGCTGCTCTCTAGCAGTGATGGGCATGGTGATCCAATGTGTCACACAGGAGTTTTGACTTGGCTGTTGTGGGGAGAAGAGTTGCGGCGCTGCAGTCCATTCTTGAACCAGGCACTGAAAGTCACTTTTTTGGGTGTGTAAACTCCCCGTGCCAGGGGTGCAGCCAAGGTGGGTCACGCTCTATATCCCAGGCCAGGCCTCATTTCCAAAGCCTAGCCTGGGCACCCAGTGAAATTGCTGGAGACAGAAGCTGGCAGGCGATCTCCCCATGGCAATTCCAAGCCTCTTGCCTTCCCCCTGGGGATCGAGCTAGAAGCTGCTGCTCCTGTCTCCTCCAGGTCGGGTTGGCGAGCAAGGTCGGGGGTAGCCTGGGAGTGCTTCCTGCCTCGGATAAGCTGGAGAGGGGTAAACCGGGTCCCTCTGTGTCTCGTCACCTGAAACACGAACTTGCAGGCAAATCTCCCAGTTTTAAGCCCTTTGCCTCTCCTCAAGGGAGCCAGCGGAGCCAGAAGCATAAAGCCACGGTTGGCTCACAGCCCCTCCTGGTCGAGTTGGCGCCCATAGGGAGTTGGAGCTTGGGAATTGGCGTGCGGGCTTTTGGGATGCAGGGATTTGGCTAGCACACAGTTGTTTTCCCGGGGATTGTTTTGGACAAGTGCCTCCCGCTTTAGGGTTAGCTAGAGAGCGGAGACAGGGTCCCTCTTTGTCCCGAGTGGAGGTTTTTCTGTTCCCCAGCTATAGAGACCATGTCTTGAGCAGTTTCAGCCTCTCTCTTTCCCCTCTCCTTGCTGAGGGGGATTGCCCCCGTCACTCTGTATCTCTGGTCCTGGCCCGATTTTATCTTCCGCATTTCGCACTCATGTTAGAAGGTTTTCTCAGCCAACTCGGTCTCCTTTTCCTCCCAAACTCCTGGATTCTCTAAGTGTTCCTATGGCTTCAGGTCTCCGTGCAAGATATGGGGGCGATTGCAATGTATGGATCTCCTTACTTCTCAGCCATCTTGCCCCTCCTCTCTGTCAAGGTTTAAAATAGCAGGATCTAGTAATGGATTCTATGTGAGGGTTAAAGAAGAGATTTTCAGGTATAACTCCTTGTATTCTGTCAGAGTGACGTGGATTGTGCTGCACTTTCCTAAGTTGGAGAAGATCTGCCTGGTAGAGAATTCAGCTACAGAAATTTCTCTCTCTTTTTATACTATGTAAGGATGAATAAAAAAGAAAACAGGTAAGTATCATACAATATAAAAGGTAATATTTAGTAAAATTTTTACATAAGTGAGAACCTTATATGAGGTATATAAAAGATGTTATATTCTTACCACAATATCTAAAGTATGCAAAAGTCTTAAATGTGTATATTCTTTGTTCTCAAGATCTAAGATTTTGAAATTGTCTCCTGTTCTATGTGAAAGATAGTGAACAATTAAGTTTATGTGTTTATTTTTTCTTATGTTAAAGATGTTTTGTAACAATTCCATCTGTTTCTCTAATAGAATAAGAGCCTGCTTGATATACCAGCAAATGAAGAACTGAAGGGGGGTTATATTTATTCTCCTTTACTCTCCTTCTTGACAGTCTTCTCTTGGAGCCTTCAGACCCCATGGGGAAGCAAGATAATCGAGTGGCCTATATGAATCCTATAGCAATGGCCAGATGGAGGGGCCCAACTCAATCTGTAGGCCCAACAATACAAGATTATCTGAACCGACCAAGGCCCACCTGGGAAGAAGTGAAGAAACAATTAGAAAATAAAAAGAAAGGCTCCAAGGCACTAGCTGAATTTGAAGAAAAAATGAATGATAATTGGAAAACAGAATTAGAAAAAAAGCAGAGAGAAATTATTAAGTGGAAATGATAGTTCATCCAAAAAAAGAGAAAGAAAGAAAAAGAAAAAGAGGAAATCTTATCGGTATTCATCTTCTTCATCAAGCTCTGATTCTTTAACCAGTTCAGATTCTGAGAATGAGGAAAAGAAACAAGAGAAAAAGAAAAAGAAGAACCATCCATACAGATCATCAGAAAGCTCTACATATGAATCTGAATCAGAAAGCAAGGAATCTGTGAAAAAGAAAAAGAAGTCAAATGATGAAACAGAGAAAGAAAAGTATATTAGAAGTCTCAGCAAAAAAAGAAAGAAGATTTATCCTGAAGATAAACCTTTCTCATCAGAATCTTTATCAGAACCAGATTATGAAGTAGAAGTGCAAGCAAAAAAGAAGAGAAGACATGAAGAGCGAGAAAAAGTAATAGAAATAGCAAAGAAGAAGAAACAGCACAAGAAACATAGTAAGAAGACGAAAAGGAAGTCAGCTTCAAGTCACAAGTCAGGATAACATAAAAAAATTATTTTTTTCCTATTTAAAAGAGCAAGAACTTAGGAAACTTCAACTGTGAATGTTAGGGCATTTTTACCAAAATGCATGAATTTCCCTGTGTTATTAAAATTATTCCTGGACTGAGTGCAAGTCATATGCCACTGTGCCAGAAAGGGCCATAAGTGTTGCCTGCAGCATAAATATATAATTGTGTGTGTGTGTGTGTGTGTGTGTGTGTGTGTGTGTGTGTGTTTCCTTCCGGTGGTTAATTTTTCTCAGAGCTAAAACCCTGTTGTCATACTAATGATGAAAACATTTGGAATTGAATTTAAATGTTTTAGATAATTTGACCACCCAGAATGTATCTAATTTAAAAATGTCTAATTTGGATAAACATTTAAAATATAATCACAAATATCTAGATGACTACAGTTGACATTTTTGAAGCATCGACTTAATGATGTCTCTAAATCCTTTTGAAGAATAGTTTATCTTCTTAATAAACTTTAGTTTACATGAGGAAAGGGCTTGTGAGGGGAAAAAGAGTTTGCTGTCACTTTGGCTAGCTGAAGAGTGTGCCTTTGACCCTTACACATCCTGTTTTTGCCAGTGCAGAAGCCATTCTTTTCTTATTTAGTAGAATTCTGAGATGTTGTGTGCTGCTTCATGTAAACAAGAAGAAAGGATAAGTAAGTCCCCCGTTCTATGAAATTTACCTCCACTTCAACAGTACTGAATACTGTTTAGCATTAGATTGTTACATTGTTTGAATTAACTTTGATACCCTTTGGAGGGGAATCGTTTTAAATAAACACTGGTATTTTGATTAATAAAGATGTGAAATATTTTGCATGATTTATGCTATTAATTTTTGATTATCCAGGGATAGTCTATACAACCAGTAATCCTTTTTATATGATTTATGCTTAGGATAGAAGTCTGTAATTTCTTAATCTTACTGTATTTCATTACTAAGTTTAATTGCACACTTGCCAAAATATTTAGCATGTAAAAAGGTCTTTAACAAATATTTAATGCCTTCATATTGAAACTTGTTTGCTATAAGCAAGTTAAGTGCCAGACCTCTAGCATGCTATGTGTCTTGCCACATGAAACTACTGCCAAAATCTTAGTAATTATGCTGTTTAGAAGTTCATTGTCTTAAGCATTAGTATTGAATTAAAATAGGAGTTAAATTTAGGAGATAACGACATCATTGATCTTCTTGTGTCATATTTTACTAAAATGTTGCCTCGTGTTTGTTGTTGATTAATGTTTACCACTAATGGTGAAATGAGCTGAGAATTATTTTATATATTCATATATCAGAGTAATATGAATTACAAATTGATATCTCAAACCCACCTGTTACAGAGGATCTACAAATTGTAACATCATATGTACAAAGTATTTAGGCATGATGAGAAAATCAATAGCTATTTTTAATAGCTGATTTCATATCAGCTTCCTTGAATCACAGGTAAAGTTATCATAAAGATAGAAATCATCAAATAAATAAATATTGGCTCCCCAAATTTCTACTTTTCTCTCAGTAAGTTTCTCAGAACATTATATATGTAATGTCCTGATAAATCACCTTAAAGTTTCATAACTTTAGTTTTTTTTTTAAAAAAAACTATATGTGCTAATAAAAATATTTAAGGGATATTTTATATCCATATAGAATTTTTCAATTTTTTTCATTAAAGTATGAAAAAAATCTTATATTATTTGTAGAATATGGCAAAGACATTAACAGCTTACCAAATATCTATGTGCTCTCATTCACTTCCCAGCCCCTTGTACTTAGGCAATGCCATTTGACTACTTCTAGCAAAGGTATTACAGAGATTGTAAACAGAAATGAGGTGTCATTTAAATACTGGAGCAGTAAAAAGTCCTGTGTGACCTTCCAGCTCCTTCTTTACCTACCATGGTGGCCTGAAAGTAATGTACTCCAAATGGTGTACCTGAAAGTTGGATGCAGCCTGTATCTCTAAGTTACTGTTTATAAGAGACCTGCCTTAGAGAGCAGATGGACTTGCAGTGAACAATTTGAGGGTAAGAAATAAACTGTTATGTGTTAACCCACTGACATTTTGGGTCTTTTTTATTACCACAGCATCACTTAACCTAATCTAATATCATAGCATTCTAGAATGTCTATTTTGTTATTTACATAAAATAACTCACTTAACTTTTATCACATCTTTCTTCAACTTGTTTCAGAGGTGATCATTTATGCCATAAAAGAAGGAAAGGTTATTTTATTTGCATTGGTGTTTATGTAATGACTGAGAAAGAGGATGGCCTAACAACATTTTATGCTTATCAACAATGTTGTCTAAAAAGCAAAACTATTTCATTATTCCTCTGATTTTAGCCAAAATAATTTCCCAGTGAAGAGTTTAAAAGGAAATTTTAAAAGCACTCATGGGGACTTGATAAGGAAGAGGAATGCTATTTTTTTAGATATAAGTATAGATGATATGGAACAATGATATGAAACTATTAAGAGCACATAGATTTAGGTGGACATTCAATAGGTAGCATCCAGATTGAAAAAAAAAATTTATCCCTTATGTGAAAAGCACTAAAGTTATTATTAGTAACTTGCTTTATATTATTCATAAGAAAGTTAAAAACAGAACCACCCTATGATTGAACAATTGCACTACTAGGTATTTACCCAAAGAATAAAAATAAATTCTAATTCAAAGAGGTACATGCACCCTGATGTTTATAGCAGCATTATCAATAGCCAAATTGTAGAAAGAGCCCAAATATCCATCAACTGATGAATGGATAAAAAAAGATGTGGTATATATGTACAATGGAATACTACTACACCATAGAAAAGAATGAAATCTTGGAGTGCCTAGATGACTCAGTCCGTTAAGCATCTGACTCTTGATTTTGGCTCAAGTCATGATTTCATGGTACCTGAGACAATCCCTGATCCTGAGATCAAGGCACGCTTCGGGCTCTGTGCTAACGGGGGGAGCCTGCTTGGAATTCTCAAAATAAATACACTTTAATAAAAGAGTGAAATCTTTTCATTTGCAACAACATGGATGGAACTAGAGAGTATTATTCTGAGTGAAATAAGTCAGAGAAAGATGAATACCATATGGTTTCACTCATATATGGAATTTAACAAATGAAACAAATGAACAAAGGGGAAAGAGAGGCAAATCAAGAAGCAGCCTCTTCACTAGAGGACAAACTGTTGGTTTGGAGGGGAGAGAGGATGGGGGCTGGGTTAAATAGGTAATGGGAATTGAGAACACCTATTGCAATGAGCAAAGAAATTACTATGTTGTACACATGAAACTAATATAACACTGTATGTTAACTAACTGTATTTAAAATAAAACCTTGGGGGCACCTGGGTGGCTCAGTCCATTAAGCTTCCGACTTAGGCTCAGGTCATGATCTCATGGTTCATGGGTTCGAGCCCCACGTCAGGCTCTGTGCTCTCAGCTAACTCAGAGCCTGGAGCCTGCTTCGGATTCTCTGCTTTCCTCTTTCTCTGACCCTCCCATGCTCACGCTGTCAATCTCTCTCTCTCTCAGAAATAAATAAAACATTAAAAAAATAAAATAAAACCTTTAAAAAAAAGCTTTTGCCATAACCTTCAACTATCTTTGACTATGAGAAGAGAAATAATAAAATCAATAAGTGTATGGGAGAGGGGAAAAATCAATACAATCTAGATTTAGAATGTAATTGTAAGCACAAAAAGAATTAGAAAGATCTCAGGCTGAAGATAACATTATATTGGAGTTAAGACAAGTGAATAAAATGTGGGTTTCTGGTTTTGTAAATTGAAGTACTAGTTCTTTTGTTTATTATAACTTTATCTGAGGAGAAAGTTGCGTATTGTAACTCTGTCGTCATTTTCTGTTTGATCATATTTATTTTACAAAAAATATTTGTGATGTAAGTTTGTAGCTACTTTATGACTCATTAAAATTATAAACAGACATCCAAAATACTATGTATTTTTAACTGAACTGACTTTCCTAGTCTTTCCTGAGCTGCAAACAGGATGTGTTTTTTTTTTTAAATGGCTCAATCACTTTTACTTGTTTATTTCATAACACTTACCTTAATCTTCCTTGTATTATATATTTTATTGTACTTATGGACTCTGGTTGTTAAAAGCACTGGCTTTTGGCAAAACACTAAGTTGAAATTCTCTCTCCAAATTCTTGATATGTGACCCTCAGTAGTTCATCTCTTTGTCTCTCAATTTCCTTAGGTACTAACTCAGAAAATAATAGTGTATATCTCTAGGATTATTATGAGAATAAGACATAATAACATTTAAATCATTTAACACAATTTCTGGCACATAGTAAATGCACAGTAAATGTTATTTCTCATTTTCCCTCCTCCTATCATCATCATCATCATCATCATCATCACCATCACTACCACCATCATCATTAGTATAGTTATTTTTAATATATCATCAAACTCCTACTCTGTTGTAATCTCCTTAAAGTTAGAGGCTATTTCATCGTTTATCTTTTGCAATCATGGCACACAGTGTATTGCATATCACGGATTCCTTATAATTTTAAATGAATTGAGTCAGTTGGTCAGGTCCTGGGAGATAGGAGAATGTGAGTGAATGCATTGCAACACTATGTACAGTTAACTCTTGAACAACCTGGGGGTTAGTGGCATGAACCACTATGCAGTGAAAAATTTATGTATAACTTTTGACTCCCCCAAAACTTAACTAATAGTTGTTGACCAGAAGCCTTACTGACAACATAGTTGATTAACATATGTTTTTATTTTGGGGCACCTGGGTGTCTCAGTCAGTTGAGCGACTGACTTTGGCTCAGGTCATGACCTCACTGTTTGTGAGTTAGAGCTCCGTGTCAGGCTCTCTGCTAACAGCTCAGAGCCTGAGGCCTCTTTCAGATTCTGTGTCTCCCCACCCCCCACTCTGCCCGTCTCCCGCTTACACTCTGTTTCTCTCTCTCTCTCAAAAATAAATAAAC